ATCGCAAGAAGAATCATTCGCACATTTAACAACTACACTTCTGTTTAATATTTTTGTCAAATTTTACTTTTTCAGGACCTTGATGCTTAATGAAAACATCGACTGATTTCTTACTCACTGTTTTTAGGCAATCAGCGTATGAAGGTTGTTGTATCGGTGCAGATGTTTGAGTTTCAAGTTTTTCCTTTTGCAATTTGTTGACTGTTTCTAGCTCATTTACTAGTTTTTCCAATAAGGACACTTGCTTTTGAAAAAATACATTTTCTCGTACTAACGTTGTTGGAGACTTTTTTGAAGCGTCAAGGCTGGATTCACATGTTTTGCAATGCCAGTTTTCTTTGTCAATTGCGACAATCTTTGATAGAGAATCAAAACACTTTGTATGAATCACAATGTTGCACAAACTACACTTTACTCTGCTTACACTTTTGCCTACATAACTTTTGCGCAGTTTGCAATTTGTATACTTTTGAGGATCGCTACTAGCATCCTCCTCGTCCGACATCGCGGCTAAACGAATCATCCAATAGATTTTTTTTATTAAATTACAGTTATTTTTATGTTTTAGCAGCATTCTGTTCTATTTTCTATTAATTTTTGCATATTTTTAGTCACAATTTTGGTAGGAATTTTTTACTTTTACTTTTAGCAATAATAAATAATCCAAACATGAAAAAATCAGAAATAAAATTGTTTCGCCTACAACGGAGGATGTTCAACTCGAAATCCGACGAAGACCTATTACTCCGAAGAGGTCGATGGAGCAAGTGGCATCACCTCGGGAAATACTACCACAAGGACAATTAACAGCTTATTAGCCTCTAATATTTCTCAGACAAATCAGCCTTAAGACCATTAGAAGACGAGAAGAACCAAAAAAGCGTAAAAAGTGCTCTCTAGACATGAATTTACATATTATGCGCTTCTATTATAAAATTACAAACAATGAAACTGATGTAAGTAATTATCGTAAAGCTCTACACGAAGCCTTCAGCCGTGAGTACCCAAATTTTCCAGTTACCATTCAAAATTTAGCAGATCAACGTAGAGCTATAGTGAAAAATAACTACATACCTCAACTTACTCTAGAACAATTAAAAAATGAACTTTCCAAAACCATTAATCCACTTCCTGAAGATATCAATAACAAACCACCAAATAGATTACTGACTGACACATCTGTCACCAATTTGTCAAAAACAACATCTCAAAATAAGATCCCAATTATACCACAAAATAGTAACTGTAGTCTATCAAATACACCACAGACACCGACTGATACATTTACTAAAGATTTATTAAGCAAAACACCTCAAAATAAGATCACAACCATAACACAAATTACCAACACACTATCAACCAGATCCCAGACATTAACTGACAAATCACTTAACAATTTATCAAGAACAATCCAAAACGAAATTAACATCACAGATAATCTACAAAACACGTACTACAACACCGAAGACACATTAATCAAAACTGTAAACAACAATTTTAAATTTCACATTAATTTCCAAAATGAAATTGAAGACCAATTTAAATTAACTTTCGAAACATGTTCCAAATTAAAACCAAATGATAGACATTCACTTCCTCGCTAGTGTTATTCTAAAAAGTTTCTTGGAATTGTAGAAATAATGAACTCCTTCATTTTACCAAAATATCTCACAAACTCGATCTGTTTTGAAAAACTTCATACAATTATCTATTGTGCAGCTTTAACTTGTATTCAAATTAACACATGTAAAGATAACATAATAAATACAAACACCAATCATATACCCTCCACCCCTCATTGGGAAACACGGTTAAATTATAAAATTAATAACATTAGAAAACAACTAGGTCAAATAACACAGTACCTTAGAGGAGTTAAAACACCACATATCATGACATGTATGCATTCGATACTGACCAACAATAATTTTCATCAAACTGATTACGATGAGTACAACACAACACTATCCCAAATTAAAGATACCCTATTACAAAAGCTTTCCTTATATAGAAAAAGACTTAAAAGATACAAACAATCACATCTCAGAAAAATTCATAACACTAAATTTTTAAACAACGAAAAACTATTCTATCAACATTTAACTAATTGAAGCAAAACTCAATTATCCGGTGAACTTCCAAGTTCACAGGATGTAACAACATTTTGGTCAAAACTTTGGTCTCAAGAATTTGAATTTAACCAATCTGCCAAATGGATTCCCCAGATACCCCATAAACTATCCACAGTTACACCAATGAATGATCATCAGATAACACTGGCCGAATTAATAAATACCATCAATAAGACACACAACAGGAAATCACCAGGACCAGACAAAATACATAATTTTTGGATAAAAAAATTAAATTGTGTACATATTCATTTACTACATCACTTAAATCAGTTCCTTCTTGACCCATCCTCCTTTCCAACATTCTTATGTCATGGTGTAACAACCTAAAACCTAAAGATAACGACACAAAAAATCCATCAAAATACAGACCTATCACATGTTTACCGACAATCTATAAAATATTAACCTCGTGCATTACACAAAAAATCTATCAACACTGTTTTAACTCTGACATCATGAATGAAGAACAGAAAGGATGTATTAAAGGATCCTTTGGTTGCAAAGAGCAATTAATCATAGATTCCATCATCTGTGAACAAGCTAGAAAAGAAAACCGTAACATATATACTGCTTTTATTGATTATAAGAAAGCTTACGATTCTGTCCCTCATTCCTGGCTATGCAAAATTCTGGAATTATACAAAATTGATACTAAAATCTGCACTTATCTCAAATGTTCCATGAAATTTTGGAAGACCACCCTCCATATAACCTTAAATGAACAAACAATTCAGTCAGATCCAATAATGATCCGAAGAGGAATTTTTCAAGGCGATTCTCTTAGCCCGTTATGGTTCTGCTTAGCAATAAATCCCCTCTGCGATATCCTGAACAGCTGCAATTATGGGTTCAATTAAGAATTAACAAACAAAGAGAAAACAGAATAAGTCACTTGCTGTATATGGATGACATAAAAATATATGCAACTACACAAAATTAGTTAACAAACCTATTAAATCTGACTGAACAATTTTCCGGTGATATTGGTATGTCTTTTGGTATTGAGAAATGTAAGACCCAAGCAATCAGAAAAGGTGTCCAACACCAAGTACCACATATAACCCAGAATAACGAAATAATCGAAGCCCAAGAACGAAATGATACATACAAATATCTGGGTTTCTATCAATCTTGCCACATCAATCATACCGAAACGGAACACAGTTGAAAGATCAATACCTAGCGAGATTAAAATTAATATTGAAGACACAGTTCAATGGAAAAAATTTAATGAAAGCAGTAAATTCATTCTGTATTCCACTGCTAACATATTCTTTTGGAGTGATTAAATGGTCCAAAACTGATCTTGAAAATTTAAACATCGCAACAAGGAAAATCTTCACACAGTATAGAAGGCATCGTCCAAAATCGTCAATTGAAAGATTCTCATTACCAAGACAGAATGGAGGAAGGGGTTTCCAGAACCTAGAAAACTAAATCAGAGACAAAATAAAAAAAAAATCGAGAAATCTAAAAGCCGAATAATCTCAATGATATATTTATAAACCACAAGTTCGGGATTATGCTATAGACAAAACTGTTGAGCTTCCTTGTCCACTTTGTTTACAAAAATAATTTGCCCATTTAGAATGGTCCCCTAATATGTGGTTGGGTCCATTCAGGAAGTATTTTTTTTAATAATTTTTTTTATGCCAAGGAACGTTTTCGTTTTTTCGGTATCTTATATCTGGAAATCTAACCTTGATGCGTTATATTCTGCCTCCATACCCTTGGCTAGGAAAAAATACGATCAACTGCAAGAACTGAAGTTGTTCGTGTCGCAGAAGTTTCAGTCATTTTAGACGGAATTACCATTTACAGATGGCTATCGAAATGACGAAGAGTTCGACGAGTACTTTTTCTTTTTTCTTGTTTGAAATAAGTAACTCTTTTTCAGGGAAACATTGAGAGGTAGACCTTAGTACCGACCATTCCAGTTGGACTTTGTTCATTTTTTCACAGGATTAAACAACTGCATTTTTTTTACTGTTATATTTGAACAAACAGTCTATTTTATATATTTTTAAAACATTATAAAGAAAATAAAAAGTTGTGACCATAATCTCTCCTCTCTTGGGTCGGTACCTGCGGTGGGTTGGTACTTTGAGCTGCATAGTTACAAAAAATAATTCTTCTCACTGGAACCGATTTTGTACATTTATACAGTATGTAATAACATCATTTTTTTTATAAATTTCATATTTAACTCCAACATAACCTTACCATCACGGTGTTATATAATACTCTTATACTTATGTAATGTAACTGTACTTTAACAGTGTTATACCATAATAACAAATTTGGATATATTTTTAACTGCAACATAACATCATCATAACAGTGTTATACAACATTATTATACTGATGTTGTATAATTCTAATGATACTATTATTACTTACTTTTAGTAACGCTAAGCAAACTTTGTAATTATTTGGTTGTGTCACATAAACATAACAGTGTTATAGCAATTAGCACGAAGAATACAGCAACAATTTTAAAAAATACATAGAAATACACTTAACATTAAAAAATGCAGTAAATGCAAAAAAACAGTTACATATGCAGAATATGCAAAAACATGCATTTTGCAAATTATCCGAACCTTAGTTATATTTGAATCGAAGTACCTAATACTGGTTGATTAATCTATTATGTTCTTTAATTATCACATTGATTTTTCTGCCAAATTGACCAACGTGCATATTAAAGCTTAGACGTCATACAATTTTTACTACGCCCAAAGTAAGATTTCCGGACGCATTTTCCCAATTTATTCAAATATGCAACATATGTATCGGCCGTCCTTGCATTATTAAAATGACTTAAGGACATGCACATCGCTTACTCATTCCCTAGCGACAAAAGTCAGCAATGTGCGCCAAAAACGAAAAGATGTACGTATTAATAAAACCCCAAATCAGTACCAAGTTTGTAATTTTTCAGTAGAATGGAAAAGAAATTCATGATTCGGAATTCGCTACTGACCGATATCTTCGAACATCCTCAGACACGAAATCTTTACAAAATATATGTACTCGTCTTCGCGGTGTTAGGTGTCCACACTGTAGGAAAAGAGTACGCCGCGACAGGAAGGTAAAATCATAAACAAATATAACAGTAAAATAACAAATAGTTGTAGAGTGACTTTCGGATTTCCGTTCATCGTGAAAGGCTTCTTCAACTTGGACAAAGTCATCTTCTTTTGGTTGTGTTGCTTTGCGTCAGTCTGTGCAGTTTTCTACGTCTTCAAAATATGGTCGAGTCTTAGAGCGCGTGCTAAAGGTGGTAAGTTGAGTTGTGTTAACTTGTCTTGTATGAAGAAGAGTGTTCAGATGAGAAGACTAATATTGACTTTCAGGAAAGGTCACAGTTTTCAATTGGTTAGGAGCGACATGTTTAGCTCTGTACTATGTTTATAGTTTTAAGATGGCCACTCATGCAGTACGCCATTTTAACCTTCAAGTAGCTGGCGTACTTATAGTTACTCTTGAACAGGTAAGTTTATCATTACAAGTACGTAGTACGTTAAAACCCCAGTTTTTAGATAAGGTTTTTAATGAAAGTACACGCGTTCATACGAAGCAAAACCTCGGAAGAACCCTCTCGTCTCTCTTTTTCTAACTATCTGTACTTCCTTTTCGCTCCTACCCTCATCTACAGAGACGCCTACCCTCGAACGAACTCCATCAACTGGAAATTCGTCACTCAGTGTCTTCTCGAATCGATTAGTGCCATGTTCGTAATCGCTTTAATCATAACAAACACGTACCCATCCCCGGAAAGATGGGCACGAAAGTTTACCATAAACGACGTATTATTTGACATGGCAGACAAAATAATACTTGTACCACTGTACGCGATGAGCATGTTCTTCTTAGTTTTTCATTCGGTGCAAAATTTATTTGCCGAGATTCTTCAATTTGGAGACCGTTTGTTCTATTTAGATTGGTGGAACGAACGCAGTTTTAACAGTTGGTTGACAAAATGGAACAAGATCGTACGAGATTGGTTGTACTATTACGTTTATCGCGATTTCAAGGAACATGTTTGTGACAATGTTCTTCTGGCTCGACTGGTTGTATTCTTGCTATCTTTTGGTGTCCACGAATGGGTTATGTCTTGTTGCATTGGTGGATTTTTTCCTTACATGTTTATTATATTTATGGTGATGGCACTGCCTTTGTCCTACTTTCAGCTTCCTAAGAACATAATTTCTGAAGTTGTTATGTGGTTGATTGGTATTTTCGCAATGGAGGTCGGCATCGTAGTCTATGTTCTCGAATGGGACACTCTTTCCAAGAATCCTTTGATAAATCCGACGCTTTGGGAGTCCCTTGTTCCTAGATTTGTAACGGCTGATTGTGCGTTAAAGTTCTAGGATGTGGGTTGTTCTGTTGCAAGTTCTAGTATTTTTATCTATATATGTGAGGTGCAATTTTTTGTAAATTTTAATGTGGTGTCAAATGCATAATAAATATGTAAAAATTAGTACTTCTTTTATCGCTACCATAACCTATACCAGATACTAAGAAGTAATTGAATCTGTACATATTCTCGAATGTTCTGGAATGAGTTGTAAGAAAGTTATCTATTCCGCAGAAAAACACGTCAGCACGAAAATACTGTACTGTAATGTTGGTTGCCTATTTATGACGGGTGAATGTTTACTTCGACGGAATTGGACTTTAGAGACAGATTCTCTCATTTTGATAGCAACGTTGTTTATTTGCAAAAAAATTGTCAACTGAGATTTTTGGGTGTGTTGAAATGAACTTTGTCCGAAAAAGCAAAGAATATCAAACCCTCAAGTTTGTGGACCCATTATTCAATGTTAAAGGCCATTATTACATTCAAGGAAAAAAGGGTTTTTGCAGGTGTGTGCCTACTTTTATTTTGAGTTTCGATTCAATATGAAAAATTAAGGTAGGTTTGGAAAAGTTTTTATTGTGTTCACGCAATTAAACGACCACTACTTTAATTAATATGCCTGCAGAATAACCATGGGTTATCATCAAACTACGAACACCAAATTAATTCAATATGAACATCTTCTTACGTATTTTTTTTATTAACAGTAGTCAAATCATTAAATACATATTGTCTTTGAAACTAAAATGCATTTTATCACAAAATATTTACCACCATTTAAATATATACGATTTTAAATTAGACATCAAGAAATAAATTTAAAATCGCAAAAATTAAATATAGCAGACTTAACCTAACAGCCTTAAATGCGTCTTGTATGTACTTGCTTATCAGTATGTAGGCACTTTAACACACAGCAATAATCGTTCTTGATGAGTAATGACTGACGACTACTGTAACACAGTAAATCCTCAAAATCGAAAATTTAAAACATTGAAAAATTCAATTATGGGAAAATTGTAAAATCGAGACATCGAAACATAAAGAAATCAAAAAAATAAAAATTGGAAAATTTAAAATTTAAAAATCGAGAAATTGAACATCGGTTAATTCAAAAATCGAAACATCGAAAAATTGGAAAATTTAAAAATTCCGAAAATTGAGAAATTGAAATATAGAAGAACTGAAAACTCAAAAAATCGAAAAAAATTTAATAATTTAAAAATTGAAAAGTTCAAATTGAGAAATCGAAAAAGTGAAAAATCACAAATTGAACGAAATATCCAAAAATTAGGAAATTAAAAATTTGAGAAACAGAAAAGTCAAAAAAGCAGAGTCGAAAAATCGCAAACTTAAAAAATCGAAAAATTGAAAAACTGAAGAACTGAAAAATCGAAACTTTGGGAAGTGGAGAAATGGAATATAAAAAAATAGATTAATTCAGAAATCCGAAAACTAAAAATTCAGAAACGTCAAAATTTGGAAAATAAAAAAATATTGAAGAACTGAAAAATCGAAAAATCTAAAATTTAAAACACTGAAAAGTTAAAATATCCTAAAACTGAAAAATGGAGAAATCCAAACATCAAAAAATCAAAAAAATAAAAATTCGAAAATCTAAAAATCTAAAAATCGAAAAACTGAAAAATCAACGAATCGAGAAGTCGAAAATTAAAAAAATTGGAAAATTGAAAAATCGGATAAATCAAAAATCGAAACATCGAAAAATCGAGAAACCAACAAATGGAAAAATCGAAACATTGTAAAATTCAAAAATTGAGACATCGAGAAATCGAAAACTCAAAAGACAAAAAAATCGAGGAGTCGAAAAATCAAAAAATTGCGAAACCGAAATGGGTCAAAATCGAAAAATCTAAAACTTAAATTTGGAAAAATTGATAAAGCGAGAGATTGAATAATCAAAACATCGAAACGTCCGAACCTCAATAAATTGAGATATCAAAAAATTAAAAAATTCGAAATTTGAAGAATTAAAATATAGAACTGGAAACTCGAGAAACCGAAAAATCTAGAAATTTAAAAATTAAAATATGGAAAAGTTGAAAAATTGAGAAATTGAAATATAAAACAATCGAAAAATTGAAAAATTTAAAGTATAAAATATGAAAATAAAAAATTAAAAATAGAAAAACCTAGAAGTCGAAAAATCAAAGAATCGAAGTGTTGAAAAATATCAAAACTGAAAGAAATATCCAGAAATTGAGAAATCGAAAAACCAATAAAGCGAAGTCGAAAAATCGAAGAATTGAAGAAGTGAAAAATCGAAACTTTGAGAAGTGGGAAAATCAAAAATAGATTAACTGAGAAATCAGGAAACTGAAAATTTAACGCAAATATTTGAAAAATTGAAAAATTTAAATACTGAAGAACTGAAAACTCAAAAAATCGAGAAATCGAAAAATCAAAAATTTAAAACATTGAATAATTAAAATATCGCAAAATTGAAGAATCCAGAAATCCAATTCAATTTGAAAAATTGAAAAATTGGAAAATCCAGAAATTGAAAAGCTCATAAGAAAAAAATCGAAAAACCGAGAACTCCAAAAATCGAAACATCGAAAAATTCAAAAACTGAGACATCGAGAAATCGAAAAATCGGAGGATCGAGAAATTGAGGAGTCGGAAGCCGAAAAGGAAAGTTAAAAATTGAAAAATTGAGAAATTGAACAATCAAAACAACGAAACATCTGAATTCGATAAATTGAGAAATTAAAAAATTGAATAATCGAAAAACTTTAAAAAGAAAAACTGGAAAATCGAAAATTAAAGATACAAAAAATCGAAAAATTGAAATATAGAAGAATTGCAAACTCGAGATATCGAAAAACCTAGAATTTTAAAAAATGACATACTAAAACATCGAAAAGTTGAAAAATTGAGAAATCGAAGCATTAAACAGTCGCAGAATTGAAAAATCTAAAGTTTACAATAAATTGAAAATCCAAAAAGCAAAAAATCGGGAAATCAAAAAATCCATCAATTCAAAAATCGAAAAGTCGAAAAATTGAAATATTGAAAAATCTCATAACTGAAAGAGATATTCAACAAATTCAGAAATTAAAAAATTGGAAAATTGAGAAATCGAGAATCCAAAGAAGCAAAATCGAAAAATCGTAATCTTAAAAAATCGAAAAATTGAAGAATTGAAGATGTGAAAAATCGAAACTTTAGGAAGTCCAGAAATGGACAAATAAAAAAAATATTTTAGAAATCGGCAAACGGAAAATTTAGAAACGTGAAAATTTGAAAAATTGAAAATTCGAAATATTTAAAAACCGTAAAATTCAAGAGGACAAAAAGTGAGAAATCGTATCATTGAAACATCTAAAAATTGGAAAATCGAAAAATAAAAAAAATTGGACATTCAAAAATTTAAAAATTCCGAAAATTGAAAAATTGAAATCTAGAAGAACTGAAAACTCACAAAATCGAAAAAAAAAAAATTTAAAAACTGAAAAGTTCAAATTGAGAAATCGAAAAAGTGAAAATTCGCAAATTGAACGAAATACCCAAAAATCAGGAAATTAACAAATTGAGAAACAGAAAAGTCAAAAAAGCAAAGTCGAAAAATCGCAAACTTAAAAAATTGAAAAATTGAAAAATCAAAAACCTGAATAATCGAAAAATTGAAAAACTGAAGAACTGAAAAATCGAAACTTTGGGAAGTGGAGAAATGGAATATAAAAAAATAGATTAATTGAGAAATCCGAAAACTAAAAATTCAGAAACGTCAAAATTTGGAAAATAAAAAAAATATTGAAGAGCTGAAAAATCGAAAAATCTAAAATTTAAAACACTGAAAAGTTAAAATATCCTAAAACTGAAAAATGGAGAAATCCAAACATCAAAAAATCAAAAAAATAAAAATTCGAAAATCTAAAAACTGAAAAATCAACGAATCGAGAAGTCGAAAATTAAAAAAATTGGAAAATTGAAAAATCGGATAAATCAAAAATCGAAACATCGAAAAATCGAGAAACCGAAAAGCAAAAAATCGAGAAACCAACAAATGGAAAAAACGAAACATTGTAAAATTCAAAAATTGAGGCATCGAGAAATCGAAAACTCAAAAGACAAAAAAATCGAGGAGTCGAAAAATCAAAAAATTGCGAAACCGAAATGGGTCAAAATCGAAAAATCTAAAACTTAAATTTGGAAAAATTGATAAAGCGAGAGATTGAATAATCAAAACATCGAAACGTCCGAACCTCAATAAATTGAGATCTCAAAAAATTAAAAAATTCGGGAATTTGAAGAATTAAAATATAGAACTGGAAAATCGAGAAACCGAAAAATCTAGAAATTTAAAAATTAAAATATGGAAAAGTTGAAAAATTGAGAAATTGAAATATAAAACAATCGTAAAATTGAAAAATTTCAAAAAATTAATATTTCAAATTATAATATTAGTTCGAACATACACTCTTACAATACAAGACACAATTCCGACCTATGTCTCAAAAAGATACGTTTGTGTAAATCACAAACTGGTGTCGACTATTATGGAATTAAATTTTTCAATAAATTGCCTAAGAATGTGCAGTGTTTGCCGTTTAAAACTTTTAAAAATATATTAAAGAAATTTTTAATAGAGAAGGCATTTTATAACTTTGAGGAATACCTGTGCAACAAGTATGATTTTAGTTGTTATATTTAGTTTGATTATTTGTATTTTTTACATGTTCATAGTCTGACTTATGCAAAAACTATATGTTACAAGCATCAATAAAATATTCTATTCTATTCTATTCAATTTTTTTACTTTTCGATTTTCCAAATTTTTGAGTTTCAATTTTCAGATTTTTGATTTTTCGATTTTCTTTTTAAATCTTTGAATTTTTCGGTTCTGATTTTTCGAATTTTTGATTTTTAATTTTTCCATTCTTCAATTTTCTTTCTTTTAAATTTTTCGATATTCTATTTTCTGCTTTTCAGAATTTTCGATTTTCAGTTTTCAGACTTTCGATGATTAGAATTTTGGATTTTTCAGTTTTATGATTTTTCGATTTTTAGAAAATTTGAGTAGTCGAATTTTCGATTTTTCAATTCATCGATTTTTCTATG